TGTTTGTGTGTGTCTGTCACGATAGTCCAGTGGTTAGAACACTGGACTCCGATCCTCATGCCTCGTCGCGGCAGTCGCAAAAATGCCGAAAAACGATATATCGCCTTGAGAAGTCAAACGCAGGTGTCGGAGGACACAAGTGTTAGCGCGCCGAACCGCGGTTGATTAGGAAGGGCATCCAATCAGGCAAAGGTGACACTGCCAAATAACTTCTCAATAGTGAACTGAGAGTATATATACATATATACATATATATATTTATATAGATGTATATATGTGTATATAAATGCACACACACATACACACACACAAACACACACACACACACACACACACACACACACACACACACACACACACACACACACACACACACACACAACCACACACACACACACACACACACACACACACACACACACACACACACACACACACACACACACACACACATACACACACACACACACACACACACATATATATATATATGTATATATATATATATATATATATATATATATATATATATATATATGTATGTATATATATTTAGAGAAATTCTGAAAGTTGGACTTAAGGGAAAGTCTAAGGTCATGTTCAACAGTAGAGTTCAGTTCGAACAGGTACATGTAACAAGGCGAAAGGCTAGAGGTAATGGATAAGTTGATATATGTACGTACAGACAGACATGGACTGCAACCAAATTACTGTAGAGGAAACTAGTAGATGCCCAGGGAGGAATGGAAAGGTTGATGCTGGGAATTAATCTAAGAGATTGGATGAGATCAACGTGGATCAGGGAACAGACAAAAATGGAAGACATATTTAGGAACATTAAAAAGAAGAAATAGCAATAGGCAGGTCATATATGCCGGAGACAGGACGAAAGATGGACAAAGAAAGTAACCCACTGGATTATAAATAACAAAAGGAGGCCAAGATGGCATGAAGACGTAACGAAATTTGGGGCCAAGACTAGAAACAAAAAACGCAAGACCGGAAGAATTGGAAGAAAAATCGAAAGGCTTACGTCCTTAAGAGGACTGATACAGGTTAATAATGATGATGATAATGATGATATATATATATATATATATATATATATATATATATATATATATATATATATATATATATATATATATATATATATATATATATATATATATATATATATATATATATATATATATATATATATATATATGCATATATATATATATATATATATATATATATATATATATATATATATATATATATATATATATATGTACATATATATATACTTACATACAAACACACACACATTGTATGTATGTATGTATGTACACACACACACACACACACACACACACACACACACACACACACACACACACACACACACACACACACACATGCTGCTCCCATAGCCTTTGACCATACACGGACTGAAATACAAGGCGGCAATCGGGATCACTATCGTAACTAGGTAGACAAACACAGAAATTGCAAATACGTGTGTGCACGTGCATTCATACGCACACATGAAAGCAAGCGTGCACATATGTACCAACACGGATTTTTCCGTGCATGTGCTCACGCTCGCGCGCGGGCGATGTTAGTGTGCATGCACATACATACATACATACATATACATATATATATGTATACACACATAAATATGCATTTATTTATTTATTTATTTAAACGAAAGAGAGAGACAGAAAGAAGAGAAAGAGAGAGAGAAAGAGAGAGAGAAAGAGAGAGAGAGAGAGAGAGAGAGAGAGAGAGAGAGAGAGAGAGAGAGAGAGAGAGAGAGAGAGAGAGAGAGAGAGAGAGAGAGAGAGAGAGTGAGTGAGAAGGAGAGGGAGGGGGGGACAGAGAGACAGAAAAGTTAATTAATAAATGAGAAACAAAGGATAGACACACACAGAGTGAAGAAATGAGAGATAATGAGAGTAATGAAAGAGTTGAATATTACTACCAAGCTGTTGTCGAAAAAAAATCCTCGCTTGTGAAGGGAGACGGGAGATGGTTTTAGAACAGATAATAAAAGGTATCTTAGCTTGTAGTTTTAGTATGAAAGATAGATGCGAGACCCCAGAGAGAATCCCACAGGTGCCTTTGTTTGTTTGTCTCTACCTGCTTGTTCTGCGACTGGAATCCGCACTACTTTAATCTGTGACACTCCAGCGGACGGAGGCAAGCAACTTTACCTCGAGGGCAGCCTCGGCGTAAAAAGAGATGTCTCGTTAGATAAGCAGGGAGAGAGACGGAGGCAGACAAAACACACAGGATTTGAGATAATCTCCGCCATGTTCTCGGCATTCGGGGAGATTTGGTGGTCTCTTACCTACCTTCTACAGTGAAGCCACAAGCCAAGACCCTTTCATTGGCCGCTCTAAGACCATCTCCCTATCCACCCGACCTTACAGGATATTATTTACAAGGCGTAATAAGAGATAAAAGGACCCATTTATAAACTGTTTAGAGCACAATGAACAATATCATATTAAAGAGGCAAAAGTACCATTTGATTCATACATAGAAATAAAATCATAATATAAAACCCTAAAAGGCGAAAATAATAACTGCATTTTTGCTAGTCCTTCTGTAGAAAGTTTTCATGGAGCTACACTTTGCCTTATCTTGGCACCTTAAAATGAAAGAAAGAAAGAAGAAAAGAAGGAAGGACGGAAGGAAGGAAAGAAAGATTCTCTAGCATCATAATCAAGAGAAATTTGGTGTTAAATATATCAAAGTTTATACATACAGAATATAGACAAAGTCCAAGACAATGAATATAAATGACAATGATTAAAGGTTAAAACAAATAAATGTACCAGACATCAAAGGTCCGACATCACAATGGTTAAGCATTGTGGCGAAAAAAGGTAAAAGGAGTTACTGATTAGAACAAAATGTGTTCGATGTCAAAGGCTGAAGAGCACTATATGGTAGCGTGGTAATGAAAAGGATGAAGAGGGGGAGCCAATGGAGTAACATGGGAATTAGTGAAAGGGAAATGGGTTAAGGAGATTAGATTAAATGGAGGGTTTCTATGCGTCTGAAGAACTAAGAGGAACATTGTATAAGGATCAGAGCCAATAAGAAGCAATGAACGGGTAATAAAGGTAGAAATGGGTGTCGGAGAAGTAGGAGGAGAACCCGGGGAATAACACAAAGGAACAGGGGAAGGAGGTGAAGTATCAGGAAGAACGGGGAAGGATCTGGAGGACAATATTGTTACAAAAGGGAGTCACGTAAGCATGCAGGAGGGGGGGAAGGGATAATGGTGAAAGAAGGGGGGTGGTGTGTAGATGGAGAAGGGTAAGATGGGAGAGAGTGGAAGGAAGAATTGTAGAGGGAACATGAGAATGAGGATGAATGTCGGCAGTTACTTTAAATGTAGAGGGAATGGGAGTGGATTGGAGGGTGCATGAGAGGGGTGTTTTCTTGGGTCACGTGTAGGAAGCTTTGGATGCCCTCAAGAGTTTCTGGAGGGTTGGGTTGAGAGGTCTGAGAAACGAAGGTTTTCTTATGAGGAGACAGATACCCGATGACCAGAGGAAGAAGTGAGTATAGGAGAGATGGGGTGGAACGTTTAGATTGCCTGGTGCGACAAAAAGTAAGGAAGGGGGGTAGGGACCGGAGAAGTGGTAGAGATTAGAGTATCTGAATGTATAATGGCAAAAGAATTGTTTGGTAAGGGGTAGGGAGAAGAGGTACTCGGGAGCCGCTAAGACATCTTGGGAAGATGGAAGAGGAGCGGTTTGAATCTGAGAACTACTACCTTAAATTCAAACTTGTAGGCAGTGCAGTTCCTATAAATACATTATGGCAGCCACCACAATTGGCACACATGCCTAATTGTACAGAGCAATTAGAAGGGTCATGACCAGGTTAAGCATAAAGAAAGCAGCCAGAGAAGGACGCTCCACAGATATAAACTTCATGGAGATCATGTCTACCTAGTGGTAGGACTTACAGTTGTCTATGGGGGTATAGGGTTGCAGTGTACTGATGCCACATCAGAGTGAACAAGGGCAGGCAAGTAGGTAGTTTTTAGTCTGACCAATCCTTGTTTAGATAGGGCAACAAGCCAAGGAGATGGAAACAGGTCCGATAGAAATGTTAAAGGAGTGAGGCTGGGCAGGAATAGGTTTGCCAGCGAGGTCAGTCAGGGGAGACAATGTACGAGCTTGGGACTCAGAACGGCTGCTAAAGAAAACTTTACCTATTTCTTTTTTAAGATATTGCTGGAATAGGAGGGTATTGTCAGAGTAAACGGACTGTAGGGGAATCATTAAAAAAACGATCATACTTAGCTGGAAAAGATGGTACTCCAAGGTTTGAAGAGGTGTAAGTAGTAGAATGACGAGGACAAGAAGAGAGAGTGGTGTGGAGAAAGGTGGTACAGCGGGGAAGACAGTGATAATAAACAACAGTAATTAGGGAGGAAGGGGTAGAAAATGAAGATTGTGCAGGAGGAGATGGAGTAGAGGATGCACAAAATCTTTATTATTGGTTATAGTGAGACTGAAATGTGGGGAAGAAAAGCAATCCACCCTCCAGGGTCCCCATGAAGGGTATGAGCCAAACGATTAACAAAGGGAAGACCGTGCCCACGCTCCCAAGGCCATTTAGGACAGACACAAAGCCAGCCTTTCATCTTTTCAGCATGGCTCTTACACCTTAACAAGTGGACAGAAGGAGGAATACAGTTGATTACCCTTTAAGTCACAATTCAACAGTTGTAGATTTGGCATTTTTGTTGAAAAGGAGTATATATGTACACTCAAGGTTTTGCATCTCACTCTATTAACCAAGCCCACTGCAGTTTCCAATGAAGTTTTATTCAAATAGCTCTATATATATTTCTCTTTTTTATCATAATTTTTCAACTGAAGGTATAGCCAATAACTTTTATGTTGAATTCTACTTCTGTTAAGTAAATCTGAAGTACATATTAATAATCAAAAATCAAAGAGGGGAAAATGAAAGCCATATACTATGTATGTCAACAATGGGAAGCAAAATATATTTCAAGAATTCTACATTTCTCCTCTCCTCTCTGCTTCTCTCTCTTTCAAAAACCTCTTCTTCTCTTGCTCCCGTCTCAATTTCCTCTTCTCAAATCCTTTCATCTTCTTCTTACTAGTTCTAGATAGTGGAGGTTTTATCTTAACAGTTTTCACAAGCTTTGAGAAATCTTTTGATTCTTTCTTCACATGATTTATGGCTTTGTTGTTCGTGCTGACAGATCCAACCGAGTTCTCTAAATCTTGGGCACTTTGGAACGGGTTCACGAGGGTTCCCGACTGGGTTGGGTATCTGCTCGAGAAGTTGGAGGACAACAGAGGCTTTTTCAGCATCTGCATCATGTGTGCTCTCATTGCATTGATTTCTCTTTTATTTTGGGCTGCCTTCATTTTCTTCTCTCTGTCAAAGTCCTCATCATATTCCTCCCTGGGACAGAAACACACAAAACAAATATTAAGTAAAGGAAAGCTAACAGGACAATTTTGTTTCTATAAAACATTCTTTGTAAACCAACAGTTGACTTTAAAAAATGTTGTCTAATACTTGAAATATGTATTACAGCAAAATGCCTTTGAAGCATCTGCATGTTCTCTCTCACAATCTAGTCTAATATCACAAATATATAAATAATCCATCAAACAAAAAAGAACTATAAATATAAATATATGAACATGTAGATTATTTTTTATTTATTGCATAAAAAGAATCCAGCCATACTTACTCCTCAAGATCTAACATTGCTTCCTTTGCCATCTTCTTCCACCAGTCTTCCTCAACATTCTGTTTACGAGTAGTGTGTTCCTTTTTCTCCAAAGTGCAAGCAAAGTTGACCCTCTCCCTGACCTGCTTCATGATGCATGTATCAGTGGGGAAAGGAGGCAGCTCAGTCTCTCTGTTGAGTGTTCTGCACAGCTGGTGATACTTGCTTATTTCACTTGAATCAATAAAAAGTATACTCAATCCCTCCTGTGTTGCACGGGCCGTACGTCCACTGCGATGCACATATGTCTGTGTTCAAGAATTGCAAAAGTTATCAAAATACCCAGCACTGTATTTCCAGAAACTTCACTTTAAATGCAAGTAAATCAAAATTACTTATCTCTTTTTGCTAACAAAAATTCTCATTTCTGAAACTGTTGAAAGGTTTCACCTGAAAAGATACAGTGCATTTCTCACCTCTGCTGTCCTTGGAACTTGATAATGAATTACATGTTGAATATTGGGAATATCTAATCCACGTGCAGCAACATCAGTCGCCAGTAGGAGAGCCCGAGGATTTGATGAAAATCTTTCAAGACTTTTTAACCTTTGTTTTTGTGGCATTGAAGCATGAAGGGGCTGAAAGAAAACAGTTATTTAGATACATTTAAGTTTTGCAAACAATATGCACTTAAAGTAGTGTTTTGATATTTGATAACATAATAATAATAATAATAATAATAATAATAATAATAATATAATAATAAAGAAAAGTAAAGTAAGGTCGCACAGAATGTAAAACTTGTTATTGAAACATAAAACACTAGTCAGATTCAGCCCTGGTATCCCTGTGCTGCCTTTGGTCATACAGCATTCCATTTTGTTAGAATTACAGTCACCTGTGCTAAGCCCATCTCGACTGACTTCTAATTGTTACAGTGGTGGTGAAACAGCATTACATTATAAGAAAAAAAAGAAAGACAATTATACATTACGGTTCCTTACTACCCTCAAGATAATTAAAAGGATTTGTGCAAAGACCAGAATATGTCTGACTCATCTAGTTCTCCTGATCGAGTGCCTTGGCCTGGCCAAACATCCCTGGCTCCAGAGTAAAACTGGTAAACATTATCAGCATTACATTTGAATCATGAATTGTTATTGTCACTGACACTAAGTTCCCTTCCTTTTTTTCTTTTAACATGAAAATAACTTCATATGTACCTGTGGATGACACTGAAGAATGTTGAAGAGATTATTAAGCCTTCGTACACAGGCAATGCTGTTGCAGAAGACTAGGGTACGTCCTGGATATTGCTTGAGGAGGTAATAGAGATAGTAATCCTTCTCTTCCTGAAACAGAACAATTCATGCAACAGATTAATGAATAAAAATATAAATAAAGAATAACATTCTTAAAAGATTTTTTTTTTTATGATTCAAAATGAAAAGAATAATCATTCAAAATGGAAAGTATAGAATAGTAAAAAGCACAATGGTTAGACATTTCTTTGGTCATAAAGATACAGTGTTGTTTGAGGGTACAATTTTACATCTAAAAATATGAAAGAAATATATTAGTTTACTTTAATAACACATTTCTCACATCCACCCACCTGGCTCCACCCTCAATCTTTATCCATATTTTAAAAAATTGATAATTAGGTGACACTTTATTAATAAATAGCCACTGTGGAAATCGGAACAAAATTTAATAATACTATTAATATTATTAATAATAATAATAATAATAATAATAATAATAATAATAATAACAATAAAAAATAATGATAATAATATTAATAATAATAATAATGACAATGATAATAATAACAATAACAATAATAATAACACTGCCACTAATAACAACAATAATAATAATAATAAAAATAATAGTAATAATTATTATTTTAATTATAACCATAACAACAATCAAAATAAAGATAACAATAATATTTTTTCGGTTGTAGAGGATGGGGAGAATAGTTTAATTCAAGGATAATTACATAGACCATGATGACCTACACAGGCTGTTGTATGCTGGCCATAACCTAAAAGGCATTATAAGTGTAAAATTTCATCTGAGTGTTGCCAGATGTAGTAGCTCTGCCGAGAATTTTCCCCCCGGAATGTGATATTTTCTCAACCCCTTTTTTTGGAGTCAGTTATAAGTTACTTATCTCACCTGTTTACCCTTTTCCTTGATTTATTTAAAGCTTCATTTGTATCATTTTATTGTCTTTAATGTTATTAATATTTCAATAACAATTTAATAATCATAATATCAATAACAATGTTAATATCAACAATATTTGAAAGAAAAAATATTCTCCTGCAAATTCAAGGAATGGGGAAATCAGGAGCAGTCACAAGGGCCTACTGATAAACTCCTTGGTGGCTGAGTACATGTGGAGCCATCTATATAAAACAAAATTAACAAAAAAGTACTTAAACCTCTTGTCATTGGGTTAATACCAGTTACAAAAATTTAGACTAATGGTTAAAGTAAATCCTTGATTTTCAAAAACTGCATTAATGCAAATAACTGAAGTATTCTTCAAAACTAAAGGAATGCATTAAACAAGTCTGGCAAACAAAATCTAAATCAAAATCTAAAAAGATACTTCCAACTCAAAACTACATTGTTACTCCCAACTATAAAACAAGCAGATAAGTCACTGCTACATAATTAGTAACTTTTATCTGTAATCTCTTTAATTTTGCTCATCATCCTGTGAATAAGATTATACTAAATATATATAGATATGTACCTTGTCACAGAAGATTTTGGCTTCAGTTAGACTCTCTGCTGTGCCAAATGTCCGAGTAACATCAACAACCTTCCGATTTTTCTTGATGCCGATCATCCTCACCAAATTTTCAATCTTTATTTCAGATGTCATTTCAACTACCTGAAACATCAAAGATTTATTAAGCATCTTTGAATCTGTTAATTAGTATTAACTTTGAAAGGTACCTTAAGTATGAGTGTGTTTGTTTGCATATATGTAATATGTACTTTGTAACTACTTCATCACAAGCCTCATTCAATTAAATGCACTTTAATTAAATTGTTTGTAGGACTCTTGTCTTAAATAATCTTTTTCGTAACCAGTTATATCGGTATCAAGTGTAGTCACTGATCTTGCTACAAAACAAGGTAAGTTCTATATTACCATGTTGCAAATTCTACTTCAACTGTGCTTACTTACACTAGTTGTTACACTGCCTCATTTCTGAGATAAAAACTATGAATGAAATATCTCCTTTTGTTATGAACATTCTGTCCTAACTGCCTTTTTGGTTTTAGCTTTTAAGACAATAAAAGACAATCCAATAAAAAAAAAAAAAAAATTCAGAAAGGAAGAAAGAATGAGTTATAAATAACAAAAATATGATACACACATGCAAAAAAGGATACAGCAGAAAAGAGTGTTAAATCTGATCAAAAGAGACAAAGCCAGCCGTACCATACCTTTTTCTTGAAATTCATTCTCTTTGGAAGTGCATGGATCATTGTCAGTGTGGCTGAGAACACGAAAGTCTGCCGCTTTTCCTTGGCTGACTCCTCACTGTTAATCACTTCTAACAGTTTGGTTAACTCCTGAAAGTGGCCACGCTCCACCATGCGGTCCGTCTCGTCAATAGCCAGGTACCTGTTTGACAGCAAAGAACATTATCTCCCTTATTTATGAGAGAAAGAAAGAAAGAAAGAAAGAGACAGAGAAAAGGAGAGAGAGGGATTCTCCTGCAGTATGTAACCAACTCTCGCAGCTAAATCAAAACAATTTTAGAACCCCTTTCCTTCATCACCTTTGGGGTATTTAATAAACCAATGATGGTCATCCTACTTCAAATCTATTAACTGGTGTTCAATAGGAATGATAAAATAAGTAACAATTATAATAATCACAAAAAATAATGATGGCAATGATGATTATGACGATAACAATAACAATCATAACAAAGATAATTCAGTATGATAATGATAATAAAAATAATAATCATAAAGCTAATGGTAAAGGTAATGATAATAATAATATTACTGTAATAATGTAATACTAATAACAATAATGATGATGATGATGATGATGATGATGATGATAATGATAATGATGATGACGATGACGATGACGATGACGATGACGGTGATGATGACGATGATGATGACGATGATAAATAATAATATAAATAAATAATTATAATAATAATAAAAAATATACATATTAATAATTATAGCATTAGCATTAGAAGTAGTAGTAATCATGGTAATAATAGCAATAACATTAATAATAATAAAAATAGTAAAACACCCTCTATATTCAGTATGATTATTCTTTTCTGTGGTGTTTGTAGTCAAGAGAATAAAAAACAAAACTTCTTAATTATCCTCAGAAAAGGCTATCTTCTTACCTAATATATGGGAGCTGACAGAGGTGATGGTTGCCCTGTTGCAAGAGCTCCCACAGGCGTCCTGGTGTGCCTATAACAATATCTGGTCCACGAGCCAAGACACGTTCCTGCTTCTGAGATGACATGCCACCTACAACCACTGCTGTCTTGATATCTGTGTTGACTAGCACTGCTAAGAGGTGACTGTTTATCTGGAAGGGAAAAAAACAGACAGGTTTTCAGTGTTCATGCAAATCGAATTTGTGTATGCAATTTTAACAGAAGCAGTAAAAGACATCTCTTGGGTATATTCCTTATGAAGATATTTCAACAAACATTTGCACAAAATCTCACCTGAACTGCAAGTTCTCTTGTGGGTGTAATGATTAGAGCACGGAGCTTCCTCCGAGGATATTTCTGAACCTTGTCCTCATTCAGAAAGTCAAATTTAACATCTTTAATAACCCTGACACAACCAAAACCTTGATTTCCCATCTCCTCATCTTCTACTGGCATATCATCAGATTCTCCTTCTTCTTGTAACTCAAATGGACCCTGCATTTCCTCCTCACTTTCAAAATCTAATTCTTCAGGTACACCCTCTTCTTCACTGTCTTCCAAGTCTTCTCCATTTAAATATAAGGCTGAAGGATCTAAAACCTCAACACCCTCTTCATCTACTGAAACATTGTCCTCAATGTCATCTTCCTCCTCCTCCTCCTCCTCTTCACCATCATCATCATCCTTATCCCCATCCTCATCCTCATCCTCATCCTCATCCTCATCCTCATCCTTGTCCTCATCATCCTCCTCCTCATCCCCAATCTCATCCTCTAACTCAACTTCCTTCTCCCTGTCTTCCATGTCATTGCCCTCGAAGTCAAAGCTTGAAGGATCTAAAACTTCAATGGCATTATCCCCAATGGGAACATCAAAACCCTCTATCTCTGTCTCATCCATTACATTCCCTTTGTTGTTTCCAATTTCTTCTACATTCATCCCCATGGCTGGCAATTCTCCATACTCTATTCCCTCCTCATCGTCACTACTCTCCAAGCCACTGTCGTTACCATCAGCCTCTCGCTCTTTGTCAAGCAAAATTCCATGAATGATAGGTATTCCGAAGGCAAGAGTCTTTCCACTGCCTGTTTCTGCAGCTCCAATAATATCCATGCGACCTTTAATTGCTGGTGGAATAGTAAGTTTCT